CCAGCCTGGTGACACACCAGAAGATTCACACAGGAGAGAAGCCCTTTAAATGTCCTGACTGCGGGAAAAGTTTCAGTAGAAATTCCGGCCTGGTGATACACCAGAGGACACACACAGGAGAGAAGCCCTTTGAATGTCCTGACTGTGGGAAAAGTTTCAGTGCGAATTCCAACCTGATGATACACCAGAGGATTCACACAGGAGAGAAGCCCTTTGAATGTCCTGACTGCAGGAAAAGTTTCAGTGATAATTCCAGCCTGATGGCACACGAGAGGATTCGCCCAGGAGAGAAGCCCTTTGAATGTCCTGTATGTGGGAAATGTTTCAGTAGAAATTCCGGCCTGGTGACACACCAGAGGATTTACACAGGAGAGAAGCCCTTTCAATGTCCTGACTGCGGGAAAAGTTTCAGTACAAATTCCAGCCTAGTGACCCACCAGAGGATTCACACAGGAGAGAAGCCCTTTGAATGTCCTGATTGTGGGAAAAGTTTCCGTCAGAGTTCCAGCCTGGTGACACACCAGAGGATTCACACAGGAGAGAAGCCCTTTGAATGTCCTGACTGCGGGAAAAGTTTCAGTACAAATTCCAGCCTGGTGACACACCAGAGGACACACACAGGAGAGAAGCCCTTTGAATGTCCTGACTGTGGGAAAAGTTTCAGTGAGAATTCCAACCTGGTGATACACCAGAGTATTCACACAGGAGAGAAGCCCTTTGAATGTCCTGACTGCGGGAAAAATTTCAGTGATAATTCCAGCCTGGTGGGACACCAGAGGATTCACACGGGAGAGAAGCCCTTTCAATGTCCTGACTGCGGGAAAAGTTTCAGTACAAATTCCCACCTGGTGACACATCAGAGGATTCACACAGGAGAGAAGCCCTTTGAATGTCCTGATTGTGCAAAACGTTTCCATCAGAGTTCCAACCTGGTGACACACCAGAGGATTCACACAGGAGAGAAGCCCTTTGAATGTCCTGATTGTGGGAAAAGTTTCCGTCAGAGTTCCAGCCTAGTGACACACCAGAGGATTCACACAGGAGAGAAGCCCTTTGAATGTCCTGACTGCAGGAAAAGTTTCAGTGATAATTCCAGCCTGATGGCACACGAGAGGATTCGCCCAGGAGTGAAGCCCTTTGAATGTCCTGTATGTGGGAAATGTTTCAGTAGAAATT